ATAACACAGAATTAATATTATACAGACAAACAAATAATCTAAAAATAATAATAAATCTACAATAAACTAGATATAATTTGAATTGCAGAAAGAAAAAAACAGGAAAAATCACAAACTTATAATTTCTTTATATTTTTGTGTCATCTTTTGGCAGTTTTTTTCTAACTTAAAAAATAAATGTCGCGCAGGTGCGTAAATGCTTATATATTTTCAATGTTTTTATTTATATTATTGACATTTCTGTTTGGGCCCCTTTCAGGTGCCGGCGGGCTCCAGTGCCACTGCATTGGCTGCATCGGCATAGTTACGCCACTGCTCTTGAAGTATGCAGTTGCCCGAAAATGTATCAAGGGGCATAGTGAGACTTGTGTAACATTTGAACCTTCAAAGAGTATGTTTGAGAAGTTTAACTCATCAATTTATGAATAAATTGCCCATTAGTTATTTTATTTTCACTTAATATTGATTAAGAATGTATTTCAGTTTTATGCTAGTTGCAGTATAAGTGCTTCAAATAGGTAAAATTAATCATGTACGTGAAATATCAAGCAATTCTTGGAATCTTCGTAAAAAAAAATAATAAAATAGTTTTAAGATACAGAGTTACGGACTTTATTTGTTTGCTAAAATATATTCCGTAGAGAAACTTTAATAAATTGAATTTATTCCTTTTGTATCTCATTTTCCATTATGTTTAAAGCATAGATAGTACGACCTACCTGTTCAAACATCGAAGATAAATGACAAATGTAAAAAAAGTGAATCAGAATTGGTTTATTATACAGTGGACTTGATACTGGATTTAATATTTTTTGTTGGGATGATAAAGATACATAAAAACATATTCGGGCTACTTATGTGTCATAAGGGGTTTGACTCTTTCGAAAATAATTTTCAACTGAATTTAAATTATCCTTAGACAAAAAAAAAAACAACCCACGACACTCCCGAATTTCCAGCATGCAACTTTAAAACTGCTGACTTGAAAACTTTTTCTACATTGTCTCTATTTGTTGTTGTCGTATCATCAAGCATGAGTCAAATAATTATGTGATATAACCAGTGAACAAATAATAAGGTCCATAAGTATTTACTGATTTTATCCACATATTTCATACTTATCAACCAATGTTCAGTAATTTACCAATTTTTTTCAAATCTAATTCTTTTCCGCTAGAAGAATCTGGTCACCCTGCTGGATCAACAACTGTCCTTTTATCTTCCAACATGTTCTCCACAGATGATGATATTTTCCTTATTTTCCGCCATACTGATAATTTCCAACACTTTCTTAACTCTCTTACTTCACAACACCTTTCACTCATGAAATTGATACAAATAACTCTATTTCCTTTCTGTAAGTTCTTAGTAATCATGATGCTAACGGCTTTGCAACTTCTGTCTATAGTAAAACACATTTACTGGCTTTCCACTCAGTTTGACAGCTTTATATCCTTCTCTTTCAAACGCAATCTTATTCTCTGCCTACTAAAATAGGGCCTACAACCTTATCTCTCCCCATCCAGCCCTTCACAAGGAAATTTCTTTCATACAAAGCTATCTGTTTTCGAAACGTCTACCCTAAGCATTTCGTGGAGAAAATAATTTACTTGTTCTTAATTAATATATTTGTCAAGCCACCCAAAGATACTTATTGTACCCAAACTACCTTTATAAGTCTGCTCACCACATCTTGGAAAACAGAGCTCCCTTATCACTAAACAGTTGAAAAATTATTTAGCTCGTACTACCCTGAAAGTTATTTTTATATCTTATTTCAGACTAAAAATTTTTTTTTCCGTTATAAAGATCGTTTGCTGACTGGCCTTTTTTTTTCACATCTCGTCTACTTATACACGTGTGGAGACTTTGCGGCCGCCTATATTGGTGAAACCAAAACGTTACCTAAGTACGAGCATTTGAACATATGGGCATATCTATAAAAATTGGAAGAAAAGTTACAAACCCTCCAAACTCCGCTATCTACCAGCACAATATAAAAACAGGGCATCCGATTTCTCTCTCGATCTTTAAAATTCTCTCAACAGCCAAACATGATACTGAACTTCTAATAAAAGAAACATTATAAATAAAAACTTCTTCTGGCTCTAAATAATGCACATTTTTCACTTGATTTAAGCTTATTTTAACTATTTCGTTTGTACTACACGCTTTCCATTTTCTCTTGTTCTACTTTTTATATTCAAATTGTTTACTTATTATGTATTACAAATTATATCATATTTCTTGTGTAATTACCATTGTGTTTGTTTTGTACCTCCAGATTACTGAAGATGTAATTTTGAAGTTTCCGAAACGTTTAATAAATGCTTCATATTATTACGTTCGCGTTCTACTTTATTATTAAATTACGTTTTCCGAAAAATGAATCGATTACTTTGCATTGAGTTTCGCAAAAACTAACAAATAGATAATAAAAATAGACAAACAATGGTTATGTTGCGTAAGCGAGTCACGTGACTACTATGACGCAACGTTTCTAGAACTATCACGTACTTTGTCGAATGTTCAAGTTCTTACTAGATATAGGGTGGGCGGATATATATATAGGAGGGGACAACGTGACGCGGTAAGGTGTAGATAGTGAGTAATTGAACTGCAGTCACAGGGTATTGTTGAAGTTAACGTTCGTTCGTTATAGTATTTGTTTTAGCGCGAGTATTGAGATTAAGTGTATCGGAAAGAATAAACCAGTTTTATTAAGTAAAGACTTGTGTCGCTTAAGTTTCGTCGGAACGAAGTTACGGAAAATCAATTAACAAACGGAGACATAACAGTTATTTTAAAAACTTCTATAAAGTGGTGTTATTTACAAGTTAGTCGAATACTCCCTAAAAGTCTGAATATAAATCAATCTCATTAGGCATTAAGACTGTTTCGATTGTGTCCTCTCCATTGTGTCATTTTTAAGCTTTAGTGTTGTAAATGAAAGGACGGCAATAAATTAAGTTGAGCATACAAACAGTTTTCCTTTCAATTACATCTGAAACCTTCCAGAATGAAAGAGAACGAATATAAACTCCAAATTTCCGGAACTTTTGCGAGATACATTCGACAAATTTCTCAAATGATTTTAATGCTGGTGGTATTTTTCGTTCAATGAAACGAACTAGAGTACTAGTAATAGAATAATGAAAATGTGAGGCCTAAGTGTACTAAAAATTTTACAATACATCATGTTGAATAAATTCATTTTATTGGTTCATCATTTAAACTCTTTTTATCAACATTATCTTAAAACTTAGTACTTCAATTTGATTTCCTTTTAGCAAAGTATTTTGGCAAATTTGATAATATTTGAAGTTGTGTGACGTGTTAATTTTATGAACCTTGTCTATGAATTAGGCCTAGATTATAAGGATCACACTGTATCACTTCTTGTATAATATTTGGCTTCTGTAGTTTATCTAAATTTATTTTATCCTTCACGAAAAATGTTAAAATACAAAAAATTCATATGGTGAATTGAAACTTCGTATTCAAAGCGAAAAAAAATTGTTCTAGGATTTCCGGTGTAAAAGGTAATAAAACAATGGAAAAACTACTATGTTTGTGGTACATTAATTTTGTTTGTTTTTATAGCAAAACCACATTGGGCTATCTTCGTTCTCCACCGCGATGAATAGAATCCCTGATTTTAGCTTCGCAAGTCCGTAGACTTACTGCTGTCCCACTCGGGGACTATATTACTTTTAAAACCATATTTTATATGTAAATATATAAGGGCCAGGCTTTCTTAAGTGTCTAATTTGATGTTGCCAGTGTTCTGCAGCAAATTTCTCTGAGTGCGTACCTTACACAAACATATAATAATTTCTAAATTATAGACGATGGACAGAGCTTTCCAAACATATATAATATGTTGAGTTTGTGTTAAGTTTTTCCAGCAAACCAAGGAAATAAACAATGGTGGGGTATTAAAAGTAGCATGTCGCCGGAAGAAAAAAAATAATTTCAAAGCAATAACACAAACGCAAAAAATTGTAAGTATGACTCAAGCCTTTTATTGTGATAAATTTGTAAACATTTATGTTTTGAAAATTTGTTTTTAGCTGATTGTCCCATTACTTTTTCACATATAAAAATATCCATAATAACATGTCGTCCTTTACGGTTGTTTAATTTCAAGACAATAATTACAATTTTTTGAGAAAATAAAAAGATTAGTGTCTA